AAAAAAAAAAAAAAAAAAGATATCAAGCCTGGAGGAATCCTAAAAAAGGAAAGGAAGCCACTAGCGGCTATCTAAGCTGGAATTTTTTAAATTTTCTATTTTTTTCCCCCAAAGAGGATTTTTTTTTCCAAAATAGGTTTCATGGAAAGAAATGCCTAGAACAGTGCCTAGAATGCTGTAAGTGCTCAAAACGTATAAATTGAATGAACGAATGAATGGATGTCATATATGAGGTATTTTAAAGTAAGTGAAAGGCCTTGAACTCTCCCTTTCCCCCCACATCTACCCCCACCTTTTGGCATCCAGGGAGCTAGAGCTTTTATTCCTCTGTCCTGCTACGGAACCCTGAGGCCCAGGGTGGGATATGGGCTGGAAGCAGGCTTGCGCCTGAATCCCCGGTCTCTTCCTCCTCCTGTGAAGCGCTCCCCACCATCGTTCCCTCCCCCATCTTAGGCACTGACCTGTGATGGTGAGGATGCAGAGGAAGATGGCTACCAGCGCCTGGATGCTGACACCTGCTTGGGCAGCCATCTCCTCACAGTAGGTGAACTCGCCATGCTCATTGCACTTGCAGACAGTCACAACCAGTGTGCTGGTGCCTGTGAGGCTCGGCCTCCCGTTGTCTGAGATGAGCACAGGCAGATAGTGGACCTTGGCACGCTCCCGGTCAAACTGTCCGTACTTGACTGTGATGTTGGCCGTGTTATCTGGAAATACCGGGGCTGCAGAGTCAGGCTCTGGCTTCCAGAGTGCCTGTCCCCTCGTGCACACCGATGATGTGGCTTGCCTCCTCCAGGGGACCCTCCGCGACTGCACCAGCCCATGTGCAGTCTGCTTCTCTGCCGTTTGTATCCCCTGCCTCATGTTTCAGCCATTTGAGTGCAGGTCTGTTCCTCCAGAGAGGGGATATTTTGGGCAGCTGCCTTGACATAGCCTTTAAGAATGGCCTGCCCAGGGGGTGCCTGGGTGGCTCAGTTGGTTAAGCATCTGACTTTGGCTCAGGTCACGAACTCACAGTTTGTGAGTTTGAGCCCCGCATCAGGCTCTGTGTTGACAGCTTGGAGCCTGCTTCGAGTTCTGTGTCTCCCTCTCTCTCTGCCCCTCCCATGCTCATGCTCTGTCTCTCTCTGTGTCTCAGAAATAAATAAATGTTAAAAAAGAATTAAAAAAAAAAAAGAATGGCTTGGCCAAAACGTAAAGTCCTTGCCTTCTGTTTCTGTGGGCAACTGATACGTCTGACCCCCACCTCCTCTTTCCTAACCCTACTGCAATAACAGGTGGTTCTCTTTTGGCTCAATTAATGCATTTTTGCAAGCTTTGACAATGGGGAAAAATAAAGTTTTTCAAAGTCTTTCAGCACTGGGCTAACTTTGAAGGCTCTTTCTGCTATTCCTGAAAATCCATTAGAAAGTGAAAACAATGCACATGTTCCCTGGGGCACCAAAGGAATGATGACACAGTAACTGAGGATGTCCTAGGCAGGCTGGAACTGCACATACGCTTTGGCCCAAATATTGGCTGCCCCTCCCAGCTCCGGTCAGTGGTTCCATGTACTGAAGAATCCCCCAGGGAGCTTTTTAAACAGATTTTCAGAGCCCTGTTCCCCCTTCGCTGCCATTTTCCTACCCCTCCCCCCATCTCCCACACCCACATTTCATTATCAGACGCCAGGTAATCTGCCTTTTGTAGGCTTCTGGGAGGTTATGATGCTGGTGGCCAGAGGGTCTAGGGATTCCCTGCTCCAGGATTTATCTAGCCCTGCAGGGTCAGCTCCCTCAGGAAGCTGACTCCCTTTGGGTCAGCTCCCAAAGCAAAGGGGTCTGTCTTTTAGATTTCAAATGAAAGCTGATTACATTTTGCTATTAAGTAACCATGTCTATTATAATTAAAAATAATAGCTATATGGCCATTGATACTTTGAGAGAAATTAGAGATTTCTCACTACATTCACTTAATATCATAACAGGACATTCATGCTATAAGTGAATCTGGCACCAACAGGCTTCCCTCCTGGTTGTACATGGGTGTCTTTGGGGTGGCACTTAAGTTTTCTATCCCAATGCAGACCCCCTCTGAGGTGGGATTGAGGTGGAGATGGGGGGTGGGGTGACAAGTATTTTTGCCACATTGTTTACTACTAAAGACAGCTGAACATTTGAATGGTTTGTAATTGACCATCAGCACATCGTGGCCACCTTTTCTCTAAGAATGGCTCCTTAAGGTTGAGTCTGTGGCTGATCCCCTGGGTCTGCCTTCCGCCTTCAGGGACCCTGACCTTCCTCACAGGTGGCACTGGCTCTTCTATACAGGAATGAATCCTCATCCGCCACAGTTTTGCCATCAGAGAAAGGCAGGAACGCTACTCTGTGCTGGGTGAAGGATTGCTCTATTAGACCCAAGAGGGATTTTCTGTTTTCCTCAGGAAGCCACTGAGGCCACGGAAGCATGCCTACTTTTGCCTGGAATTCAGTCAGCTCAGCATCGTCACTCTTGTAAGCGTATGCTCATCAGAAGCTCTGACTGGCACTGCTGATATCACAGACTTTGGGCTGTGAGGAGTGGACCAGATCCTGTCCTGGGGCCACCTGGTGGTAAGTAGTCATTGTAGCTGAAATAAGACAAAGTTCACTGTATTCTTGGCATTTGGATTTCACGTTTCCAGTTTTGACTCTTTGGTAGTGACCTCAGAATTCATAGAGAATTTGCAGCTGTGCTGAGCATAGAGATCCAGTGTGGGAAGGACTCCACTGGCTAGATCGTGAACTGAGCAAGCGTCTGCACCCCATATCTATTCTATATTCCTTGCTGACCTGAGCATCTTATGGAGAATGTGGACTTGGCAGTTTGGCCAGATTAGCTCTGATCATTGCACAGCCCCATAAGGAGTTGTACAAAATATCCTGTAACTTGAAGACCCCAGTGAGGGCTTGCCCCCACTTGGTTGGCTTGGTTCTTGACCCTGGTGCTTCAAGACTCAAATAACTGTGCCCCTGCCCTTGCCAGTAGCCAAGCTGACTACTTTGATGCATACCGTGATTATCTGTCAGGGTGAAGTTGCTGTCCTCAGTGCTCAGAGAGAATTTGAATTTCACATCTTGTGGCGTTATGTCCTTATCTATTGCTGAGATTTGCACGACCAGCTGGAATGTGGAAAATGGGGGACAGTCAGTGGTGGTGTTGGGGTGGCTGGGGGATCAGTGATGGTGACTTTGGTATCAGATCTGACCATGGCTGCATCTTTTCTGCAACACTAACCTAAATAGTCTCCACAAAGCCACCCTTTGGACCAACCTCCCCACCAGTGTATTCTTCATACGTTCTCCCTGAGCCTCAGTTTCTCCGTCTATAAAGTGGGGATAACATCACCTTTCCTCAAGGCTGTTGTGCAGGTTACATTAAGCTCAGTGAAATGCCAGCTGACCGTGGGTGGGAGGTGCTGCCTCTCAGCCCATCTTCAGTGAGCGTGCCTCGCCCTCCCAGCTGAGCCGGACTCACCTTGCCCTGGGCAGCATTCTCACACACTCTGGGCTCGTAGGGCTGGGCGAACTCTGGAGCGTTGTCATTTTCATCCATAACTTCAATGTGGACTTGGACAATGGATTCTTTGCCTGTGGAGTACCCTGCAGGGAGAAAGGGCTCCTGACTGCCATTGACTCAGATTGATGCCAGTCCCAGGGGTAGAAAGTATGTGGACGGGGAGTCCTGGAGGGGTGCCCTTTTTACAGGAAGAGGGGGCTGTGGACCTCTGGAAGAGAGGCCAGGGTTGGTGTTCTGGATGAACGGGCTGGGAGAGGAAGGGAAGGGCGTCAAGCTTCATGCACAGGGATTTTTACTAAACAGTTACTTGTAAGAATCAAGAAGGTAAACAATGCAAGCAAATTAAAGAAAGTTTTAATTAAATTAAATTAAACAAATATAATTTATTTAAATAAATAAAATTAATTTATTACAAAATACTTAAAAGGTAAACAACCTAAGTGAGTTGGTGTTAACATATTAAACCACTTTCAAAGAATGGAACATGTGGCTATTTACAATGCCCATGTAAATTACATTTAAAAATGTAATAAAGATATTTTAGTATTATATGAAAATGGCTGTGAAATAAGGCTAAGTAAAAATGCAGGATATGTTTTTTATATAAATATTATGGTCTCACTTACATGAAAATATGTATAGAGAAAAAAAGACCAGAGAAAGTACACTGAAGTGTCAACAGTAATTATCTCTGTATGGTGGGGTTATAGGGGAATGATTTTCTTCTTTTCAGTTTTTCCCATATTTAAAACATTTTTTAACGTTTATTTATTTTTTAAGGGAGAGAGAGGCAGAATAAGAGCGGTGGGGTGGGGGGTGCAGAGAGAGAGGGAGACACAGAATCCAAAGCAGGCTCTAGGCTCTGAACTGTCAGCATAGAGCCTGACATGGGGCTTGAACTCACCGACTGCGAGATCATGACCTGAGCCGAAGTCAGACGCTTAACTGACTGAGCCATCCAGGTGCCCCATCCCATATTTTAAAATGAACAACAAACCATTACTTTAACGTTTAAAAATGTGCGAATGAGATTAGATGGGGAAGAAAGGGGTAAAGACTGATCTGGAAAACCTGCAAGAGTCCATCACAGTTGGAGCTTGTGTGCCATGGCAGGGGTGATGACCAAGTCTGGGAAGCCCAGAAGGAGGCAGGGGACACTCTAGGGTAGCACCAGTGCGGCCTTGGTCAAGTCACCGCCCCCGCCCAGGCCCTGGTGGTCTTCTGGGTAAGGCGAGGATATTAATCTATCTCCTGGAGCTGTGATTTTTCTCATGTAAGTAAAGGATATAAAATCCCAACACTTGGGGTGGCTGGGTGGCTCAGTTGGTTGAGCTTCCAACTTCGGCTCAGGTCATGACCTCACAGTCTGTGAATTCGAGCCCCGTGTCGGGCTCTATGCTGACAGCTCAGAGCCTGGACCCTGCTTCAGATTCTGTGTCTCCCTCTCTCTCTGACCTTCCCCCATCCATTCTCTGTCTCTCTCTGTCTCAAAAATAAAATAAAACATTAAAAAAAATTTTTAAATCCCAACACTTGCCTTTCCCTCTGGCAAAAGTTACACTAATCTGGAGAACCTAATAATCTTGAAGTTGGAAGCTGCTTCACATTTTGAATTCAACCCACTGACTGGCATATAAATTGTCCCCCTCCTTTCCCCCTAAACAGTCTTTTCCAAACATCCATGATAATAAGAATCATGTGGTACTTGTTCGATACACAATCCTTGGCCCCATTTCTGGATCACTGCACCAGTGATCCTCTAGGAAAGGCTCTATGTTTAAAAGGTGCCTTAGGTGATTCTCATCACAGGGACATCTAGCAGGCTCTTTTATGACAGTGCTTCTTCAGCTGTAATGTGCAAGAGGTTCTGATTCGGTCTGGGGGTTGCCCAAGATTCTACCTTTCCAACCAGGTTGCTGGTGATGTGGGTGCTGCTGGTCCATCCACACCTTGGGGATAGAGGCTCTATAGTATCCCAGCCAAGTAGTGCTTCAGTGGGAGCTTATGATACCTCCAGAGCCCCAAAATGACAGATTATGCCTGTTTTGAAGCAGTGAGGGAAAGGAGAGAAGCCCAGGTCCCCTAGCATCTGGGACCACTCACCGCTGGAATCCAGTTCTTTGGCCTCCACTGTCAGGTTATACCAGGGGTAGACTTCTCTGTCCAGCTCTTTCTCATTGTAAATGTCCCCTTGTTTGGTTATTCGGAAGAACTGGCCCTTGTCACTGGTCGTGCGGATGGAGTATCTGCCAGGGGAGAGAAATTCATGACTTTCTGTTGTTCTTTGCTGGGGAGACCCCTCATGGTCTAACCCTTGTGTCCTCTCCATCCTCCTCTCACTGCTCATTGTGTTCTACCACCTAGAGGGAATCAGGGAGGTGAGATAACCCCTTTGATTTTAGCAGTGCTGCCCTGACTGGGCTGGAGGTGGTGCCTCGAGACTCCATCAGTGGCACTCTGAGAGCTGTGGCAGGAGGAGTTTTAATCAGGTGCACCAGAGCTGGGGTTGGTTTTTGTCATTAATGAAAAGGTGGTTGGGCAAGAGCCAGGAAGAAGTAAAAAAAGGAGCTGGAATAGATAGGAAATGATTGAAAAGAAATTAAATTTATGAAGTAAAAAATTGAAAAGTTCTTCCAGAAATCAATAAAAAGGTATGAAGAAATGAGATATATATATATATGAGATATATAGTATATATTTGCTACTACTTAGGAAAATTCTAGAACAAATAGAATAGAAGTAGTAACAAAAGATATAATAAGAGAAAACATTCCTGATCTAAAGAAAGACACAAGTCTAAGATTAAAAGATTAAAAGAGGTCATTAATATGAGGCATAATTTCTAAAAGAGATCAATGTTTATGTATATCCTGATGACACTTTTGAATTTTAAGGCTATATGAAGGAACTAAACAGAGTTCAGACAGAAAAATATGTTCTTGTGAAGAAAATCAGACTTATCTCAGATATCCCCACAAAATTAAATTCTAGAACACATTGATAGTATTTTTAAAGGAAGTGTCTATAGACTGAAAATTATAGGAGCATATCTGGTATTATTAACATAAGGCAAAAGAACTAAGGTATTTGTAAGTATACAAGAACTCAGGAAGTATATCATACACAGAAATAGGGTCTTGAAAAATTTTTATGAAAACTTAATTTCATCTAACTAAGAAATGTCTCAATATAAAATAAAAGCCTGATGGGGTACCCGGGTAGCTCAGTCAGTTAAGTGTCTGACTCTTGATTTTGGCTCAGGTCATGATCTCATGGTTTGTGGGTTTGAGCCCTGCATCAGTCTCTGTGCTGACAGTGCTGAGCCTGCTTGAGATTCTCTTTTTCCCTCTCTCTCTGCTAATCCCCGCCGTCCCCCACCAAAAAAAGCCTGCTTTCAGAAGAATTAAATGAAATTATTGATTTCTTTATGGTACATAGGAAAGCAATCGTGTGTGTGTGTGTGTGTGTGTGTGTGTGAGAGAGAGAGAGAGAGAGAGAGAGATTTCAAAGTAGAAAATGTCCAGGAAAACACTTTTAATTTTACAGGTAGAAGTAAGTTTCACTGGGAGAAGTAAAAATGGATGTTCACATTCCAATCTCTAGGAGAAAAAAAAGGAAAAAAAAAAGACTCTAGCATATATGGGAGGAAAGGAAAAAGCCATTAAGTTTGAGAAATGAGAAATGTGTAACAAGGTTTAAAACAGGAAGCTCAAACCTATCATTTTTTAAAACTGTTTATTTATTTTTGAGAGAGTATGTGAGTGGGGGGGGGGGGCAAAGAGAGAGGGAGACACAGAGTCTGAAGCAGGCTCCAGGCTCTGAGCTCTCAGCACAGAGCCCGATGTGGGGTTTGAACCCAGGAACCACAAGGTAATGGCCGGAGCCAAAGTCAGGTGATTAACCAACTGAGCCACCCACGCGTCCCCAAACCTATGATTTTTGATGACAAATATAAATAAGTTAAACCCAAAGCATCTCAGTTTAGATTAAAAAGCAAAGCCAATTACATTCTAATTTTGAGAGACAACTTAATGCCAAGTGAAAAGCAGAAGTTAGAAAAGTTAAAAGTAAAGGTTGGAAGACTTCTATCAGGCAAAGACTAATATGAAAACAGGACTGGCAAACTTAACATCAGGCCACATGGAACCGAAGGCAAAGTATTTAGCAGAACAAGTTGGGTAATTTCATAAGGATAAAAGCTATAAGTTGTAATGAAGGTAAAATAGTTATGAACCTTTATAAACAGAAAAATTGAAATATATAAAGCAAAATCTTAAATATTCTAGAAAAAATGGATGCAAATACAGTTGCATTATATCACAGAGCAAGTTAAAGCTAAAACAAAAAATACCCTACCACTTGTAAATGAAAAGAAAAAAATCAAATCAATCTCTTAAATAAATTCTTGGATCAGAGTGCCTGGGTGGCTCAGTCGGTTCAGTGTCCAGCTCTTGATCTTGGCTCAGGTCATGATCTCACAGGTTCGTGAATTTGAGCCCCACATTGGGCTATGCACTGTCAGTGCAGAGCCTACTTGAGATTCTCTCTCTCTCTCTCTCTCTCTCTCTTTCTCTGTCCCTCCCCTGCTTGTGCTCTCCCTCTCTCTCAGAATAAATAAATACACTTAAAAAAAATAAATTCTTGGCTCAATAAAGAAATAAAAACTATCATTATAGCTTATTTAGAATAGTGTGGCTATGAAAACAGTAGTCCCAAAACTTGTGCAGTGTGGCCCAAATCTCCATTTTTGGGGACATATTTTTTTACCTTAGTAAGAAGACCTGATTTCTTAGAAACATTAATTCTCCCAAAATCGATATAGAACAATTCTCCTTAGAATTCCAATGTTTTTGGGGTGCCTGGGTGGCTCAGTCGGTTAAGTGTCTGATTTTGGCTCAGGTCATGATCTCACTGTTTGTGGGTTCAAGCTCCATGTCAGGCTCTGTCTCATGACAGCTCAGAGCCTGGAGCCTGCTTCAGATTCTGTGTCTCCGTCTCTCTCTGCTCCTCCCCCACTCACACTGTCTGTCTCTCTCTCTCTCAAAAATAAATAAACATTAAAACAATTAAAAAAAAAAGAATTCCAATGTTTTTTAAACAACAGATAAATTAATTTTATAGTTCATGTGAAAGAGTGAATGTTTGAGAACACATAAAAGTTACAGGAAGTAAAAAAGCAACGAGGGAGGGACTTGGTTTGTATCTACTAGGTTTTTGTAAAGCTGCTACAATAAAACAGAATGGCTTTGCCACAGAACAGTGGCTAGAAGAGAGGATTCAGAAATGGGTTCAGGTGTATAACAAAGGTGGGAAAGTGATGACTTATTTAATAAATGGTGCTGCCACAATTGGCTAGCCCTCTGGAATAAAATGAGATTGTGTTAAAATCAAATGTTACATGGCTCTAGAATGCATGGGTTAGAACCATATTTTTGGTCCCAGAGGGTAGAGGCTGGGAGTCTAATGGAGATGAAGAACAGGTGGTGATGAAATGGGCATGGTATGACCCCCAAAATTTTGAAAACAATCAAAACCCCCGAACAAAGAGACAGACAGACAGACAGACAGGCAACCATCAAATCTACTGTAAACGTAAGTGGATGTTTGTGTGGGCATGAAGAAGAGGGGTGACGGAACAGCATCAAGCCACAAACATGAGTGTTACCTGGAAGTGGGGGTTACTGATGTTTTCTTTGCAGATCTTTGTGTTGTTTTACTGTGTGAAATGAACACTTTTTCCTTTTTGGTTTTGGGAAGACAAACTTCATAAAACATGTTCACAGATGTCATCTAGTTGGTTACCCTCTTGACCATCAGATCTCCCTAGATGGACCTGTGAGAGCCAGTTATTCCAAAGAATAGCCCCTCCAAGGTAGCGCAGCCAGCGGACAGCTCTGATGGCCAGGATTGAGCTGGGCAGAGGTGCCTCGGCAAGACAGGGTCCCGCCTGGTCATGGGGGTCAGTGGAAGAGCTTGGGCTTCTAGTCCTGCCTCTGTCACGTCCCGTGTGTGTGCCAGGAGAAGCCATTCTCCCCATCTGGGCCCTATTGTCAATCCTGCAGGTGCCAGGACCATTGTGATCATCATTTTCCTTACACCCTCTACCCCCTTACCCAATGCTCCGCCGAGCTGCATCGGGGTCTTTGGCCCTCACTGAGCCGATCAAAGGTTTCTTCTGGTTCTCCCACAGCTGGAAGTGGTAGAAGGGCTGCTGGAAGCTGGGGGGCTCATCCACATCTGTGACGTTGATGATGACTCGGGCAGTTTTTCTGGTGGAGGCGCTGCTTAGGTGGTGGAGGTTGATGGTGGGATCCGTGGCCTCGATGGTGAAGATGTATTGCTGAATGTATTCATAGTCCAGGGGCTGTGGAAGGGAAAAGTGCAGTGAACGCCTGCTCTGAGCCAAGCACGTGACATGTGGTCTTCACGGCAACCTTGCAAGGTTGCACTGGGATGACACCAGTTTCACGGATGGGGGAAGTGATGTTTCCATGGTCATCAAGAGAGTGGCTAGGGCTCTCTGTCTGTCCTCAGCTTCCCTCCACTGCATCTCGACAACCTTAGGGCACCCCCAGCCCTAACTCTGTGACTGGCCCTGTTCTGAGCATTGAGGCCACACAGTGGGCGAGCCACAGTCCTGCTCTCTAGGAGATCACAACTACTAGTTCTAGCCACAGGTCCTTAAGTATGTGCCTTTCCTTTGTGGTTTCGCTCAAGATGCTTCTCCTGCCTTTGCCCACTTCACAATCCCTACTCAAGAGGCCAGATGTCTTCTCAGAACCCATCTTGCCTCCCTGACACAGGTAATTGCTCCTTGCGTGGGTTGCTGTAGCACTTACATGCGGCTACCCTGTTCATCTATGCTTGTGTGCCCCGCTCTCTGACAGCTTTGGTGCCGTGGAGGCCATGGGACTCACCTAGGTGCCTCTGGTCCCCAGTGCAGGGCCGGACCGGGGATAGCCTCAGGAGAGTTCTCCTGCAGGAATGGCCCAGCTCAGGCAGAGGGGTTCTAGAATGTCCCATTTGAGGTGGGTCATCCCTGGCCCAGGGCCCCCAGTCCTCTGCATGACCATTCTAGAGGCATTTTATGTCTCTTGCCTCCTCTTCCAGATTCAGTTGGCCTGACTGCTCTGTCTGTATGCAGCAGCCACTGCCAGTAGCCACTCCCACCCCCACCCCTGTAGTACTCCCTGCTTCCTTACACGCTGTGGCTGTCTGCTCCAAGCGCCTGTATCACTACCAGGGCTCTACTTTGGTGGGTGCCCAGGGCAGGCCAGAAAGTGTGAGAGTGAACGCCCTCTGGGGCCCTCACACGACCCTGCAGCTCCCTCACTCTCAGCCCCTGCAACTCTGAGGCATATTTCACACTGTGCCCTGGGTGTTACCAGTGGGACTGTGCCCCACTTGCCTGCACTATTAACCTGACAGTTAAGGAACCTGTATCATTCCCTTTTTTTTTTTTTTAAAGCTTATTTATTTATTCTGAGAGAGAGAACGAATAGGGGAGGGACAGAGAGGAGAGCAAAAGTGAGAGTGAGAATCCCAAGCAGGCTCTGCACTGCGAGTGTAGAGCCCCATGTGGGGCTTGATCTCATGAGTGATGAGATCATGACCTGAGCAGAAATTAAGAGTTAGGTGCTCAACCAACTGAGCCATCCAGGCGCCCCTGTATTCTTTTTCTTATGTGTCACTGCTCCTGAGACTTCCTGGGATCACTTCCCAAGTAAATTATTTACACTCAAATCCTTGCTTTAAGGTCTGCTTCTGGGATAACTCAGCCTAAGGCACTGACCCTTCTCTCCTGGCTTCCCTTTCCCAGCTCCAGGGTCACAAGCTCATGAGCACGTGGCCAGCTCTAAGCTGACCCAGAATGTACACCTTCAATGGCTTCTGACCTTGGAGCAGCCCCTGGGTGAGTCCTGAAAATGCCAGGAGCCCTAAGCCCCACATCTGATGTCGTTGCTGCATGCCTACAAACCTTCATGGGCTTGATGATTCCCTCGTTGTGGTTGGGGTCCGTCTCGATGGTGAAGGTGTCCCTGTATTCGCCTTGCACGATGCTGTACTTGGTCATCCGGTTCTGGGGCTCATCTGGGTCCTCAACAAACAGAGAGCCCAAGGAGCTGCCCACACGGATGTCTTCAGGCACCGCAAATGTGTACTTGGCTGATGCAAATAAGGCGCCCCCGAGGGCATTGGATTAATGAGATAGACAAGGTGATTGTCCCTCATGCTATCCTAATGCATTTTTATACAGGAAATCAGCATGACAAAATAATAATAATAATAATAATAATAGTAGTAGTAGTAGTAATACCACCACAGGAATTTTGGGTCTCAAGGCAAAGAGATTCTGCTCCATCTATCCTTCCATCCCTCCGTCCATTTAACAAATAGTTATTGAACACCTACTGTATGCTGGGTCTTTTGCTAGGGAACTTATCATTTGACAAGAGAGACAAGTCCTGATGTGAGGGAGCTTCTGCCACATAGAGTGAGGCCACCGTCATTGGGATGGCTGAGCCTCTGATTTACACCTCAGCATCAGAGGGTACAAGTGATGAACCGTCTGACTTTCCTTCCCACCCTTAACCGGGGCGTGTGAAAAACTCTTGTCAGACATTTTTTTGTGGGGAGAGAAGCAGTCTGTGTGTGGGCTCAGGGCTCAGCCTCAGCTCTGGATATGGAACTTTGCTGTATCCCTGTTCACCAGCTCACAGGGATTTTCTAGCTAGGGCCTGGATTTTTCCGAGCCCATAGAAACTGGGTGAAACTGTTCCTATCTGGTAGTGGGACTCTGGGCAAAGTGGTGGCACACAGCAGGGAGTGCGATTTCCCTGTGGCCTGTGAAGGCACCATGGCAGGTGGTATTTGGAAAGCCTTGGGAATGTGTGCAGGGATGGGGAGAAGACCCCCTCCTTGCACCAAAATGACTTTTCTGGGCTTTAGGGAGAGGTAGAGGGACTCTGGGCTTCTCCACAAGATCCCCCAGGCCACTGAGTCTGGAGTATCCCAACCCCCATCCTCCCCAGGGCCCTGGAGGAGGAGCTCACTTTGGGTGAAGATGGGGAAATTGTCATTGACGTCCTGCAGAGTGACCAGCACCGTAGCTGTGCCTGAGTCCCCTCGGAGTCCCTGGGCATCTCGTGCTTCCACCACGATCTCATACTTGGCCTGGGTCTCTCGGTCCAGGTTTTTGGTTGTAGTGAAAATGAGTCCTGCAAAAAGTGTCCAGCAGGAGCCATGTTACTTGGAGGGCTTTTAGAACATACTGGTGCCTGGGCCCTATCCAGAGTTAACGTAAAAGCTGATGCAAATAAAGTGACTTAACATGTGACTTAAAGGCTCCCCAGGTGATTCCACTGTGCAGCCAGAGCTGAGAACCACCGGCCAGCCACCACCCACCTTCACACCCTGCACTGCTAGACCAAAGCTGCCCAAACGGTTTGGTCCAAGATTGGTCCTGGCTGCTGGGAGCATGGTGTTGAGAAAGAGTGCGAGGCCACATCCGGGCTCAGCGTGGAGAGAGTGCTGTGACTCATTAGCGATGCCTGCCTTGGCACATCATTGGTTGTGGTGGTACCTGTATTTTGCACCTGCCACCCCCCTGAAAGACAGTGTGTCCCAGGTCTGACCACCTGGACTTCTGTCTTGCTCCCCAGACTCTGTCCTTACAGTTTTTGTGAAGTCACACTGAGTGGATAATTAATGCAGGCCATGTATTCTCTATACATTATGTAATTCAAACTTCACAGCTGCTATGCAAAACGAACATACATTTTCCTGTTTTCAGGGTGAGAGAACTAAGGCTCGCAGAGGCTAGTTGACTTGCCTCAGGTTGTTAGAGGGAGTGAGTAGCAGAACTGGGTTTGGAGACTAGATCTGTCCGACTCTACACCCAGAGCTGCTAACCAGCATTCTCTTCTGCCTCTTGGGTCACTGCTTGGGTCCTGATTTTGTTCCCTGGACTGGAGTCCATGTCTTGGCAGCTGTCTGCTTCCTTCTCCCCTCGCCAGCCACCTTGTTTTCATGTGTATAAGAACCATTTCCATGGGATCGTGTGGTTGGATGGTAGCTGACACCTGTCAGACTGGACTTCCCTCAGTGCCTGCACCTTGAATATCTGTCCCTACCCGGCTCCAAGCCAGCGCCTGCCCAAGAGGGTTAGTGACACACACCAGAACCATCAATAGCAAAATATTCTTCTCCCTTCAGGATTTGGTACATGACACTGGCGTGGTCTGCCACGGTGGGGTCATCTGCATCAACGGCTGTCACACGGATGACTGAGGTCCCTGAGGAGAGAGAATCCAGGGTTACTGCCTTGTGACTGTCGGCCCTGTGCCCCATTTCCAGATGAAGACAGATGGGGCTCAGGCTGTTCCCTCAACCCACTTTCCTTAGGCCCTGGGGGAGAAAAGACTGCTTTGTTTTCTGAGGAGCCTGCAAGGGGGCAAAGTGCTGAAGGTTCAGCCTGGTCATCTTGGAAGGAGGCAAAGAGAACAGGTGGTTTTTAGTCACAGGAGAAGGGAGGCAGGAGGCAGAAGGCTAGGGTCATGAGGAGAGAGAGAGAGGAGAGGAAAGGGCTGCTTCTTCCTTCTTCTGGAAGATGAGAACAAAAGAATGGGAAGGTGCCCCACAGGGGCGAGTGTCACATCTCTGTTTCTCTTGAACTCTGGGACCCTCATCCCCATACTTAACAGGGAGGGCTGTTAAGATCTCCCAGGTTCTTAGCCAGGAACCCTGGACCAAGGGGTGGGGAAGGGAATCCTTTTCTGTTACCTCCTAGAGGCTGGGGGTAGAATTGAGGAAGTAGTAATTTCAAGAAGCCTGGGGTTCAGGCTGGTGTCACATCTTGGGGTGAGGGCTCTAGTCTCCTCCCTCCACTCCTGCATGGGTCCTAGAGAGGAGTCTTTTCGCTGTGGTGGCAGAGTTGGTATTCTTCGTGTGCAAAGGCACTCTTAGAGTGCCAGTCCTGAGTCAGAGAAGTGGGTGGGGTTTGCTCCGAAGAATAATGAGAACATTATTATGTATATGTTTCTGATGGTTAGTGCTCAGTCCATGATCAGGGTCAGGGCTCAGTCCATGATGAGCATCAGGGCTCAGTCCATGATTGGGGTCAGAACTCAGTCCATGATGAGGATCAGGATTCAGTCCATGACTGGGGTCAGGGCTTAGTCTATGACTAAGTCAGGGCTTGGTGTGGGGCCAGGTCAGAGTTTAGTCTTTAGGGATCAGAGTTTCTTTCAAGCGCCCTGAACTCACTGAATCCTGATCCCCGACAGTGAAGCTGCTGATAGGAGAGGCACCTTCAGGCTGGAGATGAGCAGGGGAGGAGTGAGAGGGACAAGCAGGGCACATACCCACGGCCGACATCTCTGGCACAGAGGCGTTGAACAACCGGTGCGTGAACACAGGCCAGTTGTCATTCACATCATGAACTTTGATGGTGAAGCTGGAAGGAGACTCTAAGTCATTATTGGTGTCCTTGTCTACCACGAGGGCAGTAAGGTGGTACTCTGGGATCTTCTCCCTGTCCAGCCTCTCAAAGGCATACACGTCCCCTGAGTCCTCATTGACCCGGAAGACCTTGCCGGCAGACTCTCCTCTGAGCAGGTACTTGGCGTTCTTGCGGTTCACACTTGATTTGATCTAGGAAAGAAGAGGTGCCATGAGCTGCGGATGGGCAGGGGTGGCTGTGTGCGTGTGTGAATGTGTGCACACACATGTGAGCGTGCAAGCGTGTAGGTTATGTCGGTGTGTATGTACACATGTGTGTGTGTATGTGCACTTACATGCGGTGCTGGCCAGGGGTCCTGAACGCGACACTGCAGTTTTTACAGGAATCTCTGACTGGTCATTAGCACGTTGTTGTCAGCCAGGTTGCTGCGAACACCACACCAATATGACTTGCTCGGCGCACTTCCCTAATATGCCTCCACCAGTGCTTGGGACATTGTAGGTGCTTATAAAACGTTTTTTTTGTGTGTGAAGGAGTGTACTTGGTGCCAGTGGAAGGCAAGGGGCATTTTGCCCCTGGGAAGTCTCTTAACCTCTCTGAGTTGTGGTAACCTCATCTGTAAAATGGAGATAATATTGCTTTGGATGTTGAGCTGCTCTCATGAGCAGAACGGCGCTTCTGAAAGTGAATTCCAGGACACGCTAGTCTCTTCTGCTGCTCCACGTGAAAATTGGGTCCCAGGGAACTGGGAGTTGGCTTCCACTGGCTTGGATCTCTAGAACCAACTTACATATTTAGGGATGTTTGTGAGCTGGTTGTTAAACACAGCCATTATTAAAAATCCAATTATGTAAACTTATAAATTAAATGAATTCTATAAAAAACAGAGGTAGCATACCCAAAATTCATTGCTTCCTCGTTACCATACTGCATTTTTCTGTGTTCTTGAGGTTATGTTTACTGTGTTGAATGATGGAAATACCACACAGTGCTGGGTTAATGCATATCTTTTCACAACTCTGCCTTCATTGACATCAAATTGGGAGCTTAAAACAGACACGGCGAAAGTATTTACACCATGGAAATGAGCAAATGCTATGAATCAGGAGTTTTTCTCCTGGAGAACAGGTTGATAAATATTTATCAGCACACCACTGGTTCTGGTCAATTTAGTTTTGGAATGACACGTAAAATGTTCTCTTCTTGGAGATTTATAGTGTATAGTCCTGTAGAAAAAAACTCTAATGAGCTTTAACTCAGGATTTCCCATGCTTTTTAGACCACTGACCCCGTTTTCTTTGTAACACATACTATTAGTGCCCTAAGGAACAAGATTTAGAAAAAGATTTGGAAACTAATATACATAAAGCAGCTTGCACAGGCTATTATGATAGATCCATGTTAAAAGATATTAGGTTAAAAGTGCTGAACATTTCATTTATAGAATCTTAGAAGCAGAGACTCTTAGGAACTTCAGAGAATCATATTTCATGCAGTGGTACTCTCACAGATGGTTAGAATGTTCAAAAAATGTAGTTCAATTCAATTAAAAATATATAAATTGGACACCTATAAGGTGCCAAGCAGCACCCTGGAAGCACAGAGGTAACCCAGACCCCATTCTTGCTCTCAGGGCTTGGGCCCAAGCCCCAGAAGCTGAGACTCTTAGGATGGGCAGTATTTAAGGGTTCAGGGATAAGAGCCTTGAGTGAAGGTATCCGATGAGGAGAATCAAGAGAGAGCGGGTCTCAAGACAGGAGAGGGAGCAGCAAGAAGGGTGTGGTCAAATCCCGTGAGTCTGGGGGTGCCTGGGTGGCTCAGTCAGTTCAGTGTCTGACTCTTGATTTCAACTCATGATCTCATGGTTCATGGGTTTGAGCCCTGCGTTGGGCTCTGTGCTGACAGCGAGGAGCCTGCTTGGGATTCTCTGTCTCCCTCTCTCTCTGCCCCTCCCCTGCTTGCTGTCTATCTCTCTCTCTCTCTCAAAAATAAATAAATAAACATTAAAAAAAATCCCATGAGTCTGGAAAACATCCCTAGGGTTTAGCAGTAGTGTAGACATTGGAGCCCTTGGTGGGAGCAGCATCCAGGCGGGGGTGGGGGAGTAGGGTGAGAAGCCAGATGACAGAGCTTGGAGAACAGGCCACAAGGTGAGGAAGTAGAGACAAGGAGTGAGGACCCTCTGCCTTGGGTGGAGCAGAGGTGTGGTGTGCAGGGGCCAGGTGGTTTCATAAGGAGTTCCCAGGACCCATGGGCCAGGATGTATGACGAATAGTGGGTCAGGAGGTGAGAAGCAAATGCCCGAGCTCTGCAGCCTGCGGTGTGGGGGGACAGTGAGGGTTTAAGGAGAAGGGACAGTCTGGGACTCTGTGTGAGTCGCTCAGGGTTAGATGGTAGTTCCAAACTTGGTTCTGGGTGGGTGTGTTAGGACCCGCATGGGCAAGGGTAGTGATGGGGACCAATGGAGCTTTGATCTATTGTATTGGAATTCTGTATACGATTCCATTTGCGTATAAGCTCCTTCCCTCCAACTTACATTTTTTAGAATAGTTTTAGATTTATAGACAAATTGAGAAGATAGTACCGAGAGTTCTCATATATCCTGTCCCAGTTTCCACTGTTATCACCATCTTATGTTAATGTTATGTTAGTATGGTGCCTTTATTACAATTAGTGGACCAATACTTTATTACAATTAGTGGACCAATTAGTAGTCACTGGGGGCCATAGTTCATACCGATGTCCTCAGTGTTTGCTTCATTTCCTTCTTCTGCTCTCGGAGCCTGGCCAGGACACCATATTACATCTAGTCACCACGTTTCTTTGGCTCCTCTTGGCTGTCACAGTTTCTCAGACTTTCAGTGTTTCTCAGAGTTGATGACCTTGGCCATTTTGACAAGTACTGGTCAGGTATTTTGTAGGATGCTTCTCTACTGAAATTTGTCTGATCAGACTGAGATTATGGGTTTTGGGGAGCAGTGTTTTTTTAAATTATCACTATATTTGGGCATAACGTCTTAATGCCGCAAACCATAGTGACCCATATTTGTGGATTCAAAAGGCTACAAGGGCTCCCTCCCATTGTCCAACCAGTCTGTAAACAAAGGCTCCGGACTGTGGCCTTGATAAACAGGGATTTCCTTCCCTCAGATTACGTCTTTGGGAGTGAGGAGGTAATCCTTGGAGCCCTGTCCTTGGCTCTCCCCAGCACTCTGTTCCTTCTCGGGGTGGGGACTGCGTGTAGCTCCTCTGTCCCCTGGCCCCATGCCAGTTGCAAAGTAAATGCTGTTGGCAGATGATGGCAGGCCTGACGCTCTTCCTGCTGCTCGAAGACCCTTGGGAGAGCCCTCTAAAGGTTTCCGTGTCGGGGCTGCGCATGATGCAGGTGGCCTCTGCTTTCTGCTGACTCTTCCTGACTCACCCTGCAGATTTTTCTCGGGGCCGGCCATTCTCATCAGTGGCTGATTCATGGCACAGTTATCCCATTGGGAAAGATGTAGGTGGATTGACGACATTTTCCTCTCTGACACAGTTCACATTTGTGTTGGGAGTCAGGAACCCTATGCCTTCCTAGGACTAGGTTCTCCTCGGGCTCTGTCCTGGTCTCCCTGTGTGACCCTGGTCAAACATCTTTCTCTCTGAGCGGCCATAGTGAGGCATTTAAAGTTCCCAGCCATTCTAGGGAGCCAGAGGAGCCTGTGGGCACAGTCGGTTGTGGGCAGTCTGTGAGTGGAGATTCCCCAGCTGGCCCTGCCCCCAGCTGCTGTGGCTTTTCTGGTGCCAAGGCCAGGCTGCACCCTCCCCCATCAAAGGGTATTTCCAGCCTGTTTCTCTGTGACCAGAGGGATCCCCCAACCCTACTTTTTGTGGGGTTCTTTGTCTGACGTATGCTGCCCCTATAGATTAGGGCCAGGAAGTAAACACTTCCAGCTTTGTGGGTCATGTGGTGTTTGTCGCAGCTGTTCAACTCTGCCATCAGAGCAGCTTTGGCGATTTGTTGTACATGGCCTTGCCTCTGTTCCAGTGAAACTTTACAAAACCAGGCAGTGAACTGGTTCTGCCAGTTTTGCTTTTAGACCATGAGCTCCACAAAGGTAGGGACCCTATCTGTCTTTGCCCACTGCTGTCTTTCCCATGCTTGACACCATGCTTCCTCTTACTGGCACATTGATCTATTTTTTTCTTTAGTGGATCGCGTTCAGATTCCAAGAAACTGACACGGTGAGAGTTTATACACCTGTAAGGAGTTTTTCTCCCTGTCAAAAACTCTCAAAATACCTGGGCCAGCCGTCTGCCACTGTGTGTGGAACTCCTCCAGTAGAGCCACTGGTTTGAATCAGAATGGATGGATTTGACATCAGTAGTACTTTGACCCAGTAAGACCGTTCAGTGGCCACTCACATTAGCTCCAAGCCCTAGAACATTGGCTGGAGATGAACAGGTTTTGAAGGGGGAGGAAGTGTGGGTTAGAGCCTTAGGTGCTGCCTTGGAGGGCAGGCTTGGGTCAGGCACCATGTTATGGGTGTCCTAGAATCTGAGGACTTGTGTAGAGTGACAGGGAGCCAGGGAGGGATAGTCGGAGAGAAGGGGGTTTTTCGGGTTTAAAGAGCTAGACCAGGCTGGCAACCTGCGGCCTGGATGATGAATTCTGTCACCAGCACATTTTTGTAGAAGGCTTCTCAGGGCTTCCGGACTTTCCGATGGGAGAATTTAATGGCAGTCTTGGCTGCTTCTGCCCTAGGCCCTGAACCCCCAGGCCAGGTGGGCCCCCTGTGTGCAGGTGGGCCCTTCCCCTGGTGATTTTTAGTCCACAGACCAAGGCCCGGGAGAAAATGAACCAGAGCATTCACCACCGCCAGCACTTTCCCCTTCCCCTTTGCCATCATGATTGCCCTAATCGTCATGACCTCTACTGCCATCACCACCACGGCCCCCTCACCTTTCCCTTTACTTTCCCACCGCCTCTCCCTTCATCGTTGTGACCGTGACCACCGCCACCGCCTCTCCCGCCTCTCCCAGCTCTGCCACCATTCCCCCTCACAGCCGTCGTCCCCGCCCCCGCACCCACCACAATATCTGCCACCGCCTTTACCACCACTGTCACCGCTGATGCCACTCCTGCTCGGGGGCCTGAGCCTTACCTTGCCCACATAATGGGGCAGCGAGGTGTTTTTCTCTTCATCGATGTGCATCTGGTTCCAAATCCAGTCCCTCTTCTGGCGCCGGGGGGCGGCCGGTTGGGCAAGGTCAGTGCCTTCCGCGGGTGCCACCAGCAGGCCCAGGCACACGCCTGCCGAGGCGAGCAGCACCGTCAGCCCCTGCATCTTCCCGAGAGGCACCAATCTGGGCAAAGAGAGGGGACACCATGAGGGCATGGTAGTCACCACCCTGGGGTCTGAGCAGCTCCCAGGGACAACTGAACTTCCTCCTGTCATCCTTCCCTCTCTGCTGATACCAGCAGAACCAGATACTCTTCCTGCCCCCAGATTGCTTCGGTCTGGAAGAGGAAGGCAGATGCAGAAACTCCTCCCAAAGTGTCGTATGCGCTGGCATGGAAGCCCCAAGGAGGGCTCCCGACGGGGAAGGTTTTCTAGAGGAGAGGGTGAGGCTGATGCTGATGGTGGCTCCCGAAGTCCTGCGCAGCGGGGACCCCAGTTATCCCCATGTTACACATGAGGTTAAGTTCACGTTGGAGCGAGTGGTGGGGCTGGGAATGGAGCCTTGGTGTCTGACCTCAACAGCTGTCACTTATCAAGTACTTATGACAAGCATGACACCATTCCAAGCACTTCACGTGTGTTATCTCATTTAATTTTCCTAGTAACCCTTCAGGTGGATATAATTATAATGCTTCTTTTGCCAAGAAGCCGAGGAACAGAAGAGTTCAGTTCACATTCCTGAGATCACCTAGGCAGGGAGCGGCAGAGCCAGACTTGAACCCAGTCTGCCTGGCCCCAAAGTTCAGGCTTTTTCCCACTGGCCTCTCTTGTCCTCACAGCTGCTGTGGGGTGGGACTTCAAGACGCCTCTGAACAAACATGCCCCCTGGCCAGCACGAGAGCCCCTGTGGCAAGATGCTTTGATGCTGTCTTCAGAAAGTGCTTGGGAAACCCAAATGTCTTAACCCAGAGGGTCAGGCCCTCACTAGGCCCAGAGCTCACAGTTGGTGATCAGCTGAGGAACTATCACAAGAGCAGGGGTGGGGGAGGGTGGAGGATTGAAAGGCTGGTCTCATGGGACTGGCTTCATAATTGAAGGGGCCCAGTGCAAAATGGAAATGTGGGGCCCTCTGTTCAAAGAGTATTAAGAATTTCAAGATGGGGGCGCCCGGGTGGCTCAATTGGTTAAGCGTCCGACTTCAGCTCAGGTCATGATCTTGTGGTTTGTGAGTTTGAGCCCTGCATCGGGTTCTGCGCTGACAACTCAGAGCTTGGAGCCTGCTTGGGATTCAGTGTCTCCCTCTCTCTCTGCCTCTCCCCTGCCCACACTCTGTCTCCCTCTCTCTCAAAAATAAATAAACGTTAAAAAACTTAAAAAAAAAAAAAGAATTTCAATCAAGGTGGAGACAGAAGACCATGAAAGGAGGCATCATGCGCCAGGCCCAGTGTGCTTGCTCGCTCTGGAAGGGAGTTCTTAGGACAGGGATCAGCCTGAACCAGGATCTTGGGTCACCCAGAAATGAGGGCCTGGCTTCCTCCTGAATTCCAGGAAGAGGGATTTTCCCCACTGCCCCATGGTGGGTGCAGGCTGTGACCTTGCTGGCCTGTGCCCTCTCAACCCTGACCCCATCAGTCTACTCATGCTGGGTCCCTGTGTCACTCATCTGTGGCTCCTGGGATGGTTCAGGGGCAAAGGGCAGGTGGATGGGAATGGGAACCCGGGCGCCTGCCTAGAGAGAGACAAGGACCACGAGATGCTGGATGGGAGGCCACCACCCTGGTCATCCCCCACCTTGGTCCATGGGAGAGCCTGGATTCTGCACATTACAGGAGGTCTCTAAACTCTAGTAACATTTCCTCTGAGACGTTGGCGCCAGGCAGTCCTCAGTGAGGGCCCAGGGTGTCTGCGCTGGGCTAGCCTGGCCTCTGGGTCTGCTGATCTTAGCGTTTGAGATCCCCACCCTGTGGGCCCTGCTGCTGGTGTGGGAGGAAGTGGGCTCCCAGGGTTGGGTGGGACAGGGCTCCGAGGAAGTCCCCACAATGCACGTGCCATGTGTCTGGAGAGAGGCTCTGGGTCTCAGTTTCCTCAGTTGTGAGGTGGTGGAACTGGAGGAGGCTTGGTGTCCTTTGAGGTAGGACGTGGAGAGGGTGGCCACTGCAGGAGGGAAGGAAGGCAGTGAACAAAGGCTTTGGGGAGGTTGGGCATCCTGGCCGGGAAGCTGCTCCTGACTCAGGGGAGGTGGCCGGCATGCCCCTGCTCTAGCCTTGCAGGGCCCAGGCCTGGTGGGTCATTTCCTTCTTTGCCTACAAAGGAACTGCGAATCCTGGTCCTTTCTTCCTCCCAAGTGAGAAGTGACTCAAAAATGAAAAAGTAATACAAACAGAAGTGAAACCAAGAAATAGGGAGAGAGAGAGAGTTCTCAGGCTTTTTGGCAGGATGGAGTGAGAGCCCATGTACTGAGCTAACAGGCACATGGGGCCTGTCCTCAGGGAGTGCACACTGTGGTGGGAACACCATGAAAATAAGTGAATTGGGAAAGTACCAGTTAGTGATACATTGGGTGCGACAGAGGTAGGGTGTTGCTGACTGAGACTGTGAGATCAGGGAGGCCTTTCAGATAGAGGACATTTCAACCAGCATCTGAATGTTAGTCGTAGGAATGCCAGGGGAAAGAAGGGCATTCCAGGCAGAAGGACCAGCATGTGCAAAGGCCCTGGGGTGGAAAAATGGTTGGTGTGCCCCCGGGTCAGGTAGAAATGAGCATTAGGGGGCGGGGGACAGGAAGAGGTGACCAGGTCAGTGTGGTAGGCTGAGTGATGCCCGCCCCCTGCCAAAGATGTCCATGTCTGAATCCCTGGAATGTGCGAACGTTTTACTCTTTATGGCAAAAGGACTTTTAGCAGATAGGATGTCTCCATGCGTGACCCTGGAGTGCCCTCTCAAGACGTTCCTTCTTGCCTGGGGTGGCGGAGGGGGGCTGACATCCCTGAGCACCTCCTCAGTGGCTTATGTTATCTCATTTAAACCTTGCAAACTGCAAGGTAGTTGGCAGTAACCCCACTCTACAGGTGAGACTCAGAGAGGTGGAGTGAGTCATCCCAGGTCATATAGCGGCAAGAGACGGAGCCAGCATTTGAACTTAGTCTGCCTTTCACCCCAAATACTGCTTTTCCCTACCATGCCTCCCCTCTGTGTCTCTGTGGGGACATTCACACGCATGATAATAAAATACTGTTCTCCACGCTTGGCTTTCATGTTACCCCAGGCTATAGGAATTACCGCCCCCATTGCACAGAGGGAGAAACTGAGGCACAGACCCAAACAATTGATGGATCTAGAACCCTCACCCAGCTCTTTCTCTGAATCCTGGGCTCCTTCTACACCCAAACTCAGAGGGACCTGAGGGACTTTTCCAACTGAAAAGCCACATTTATTTATGTCTTTTGCATTTTGTGTTAGGAATTTGGCCTCCAAAATGGGGGCTGAGAAGGAGGGTTTTACCAGACAATTGTTTCTCTTCCCGCTGCTCATGGACAGGAAGTCAGTTGGCAGGATTTGTCATGCCCACAGCTGGAAACAGAATTTCCCTTGGCCGCACCTCTGGAGGTGTGGTCAGAGCCACAACTGGGGGCAGGTTTATTTTAGCCCTTTACCTCCCCACAAGCCCTTTACCTTCACTAAGTTTTTGGAGTGGTCGTAATGCTGCCAGGTGGATTTGGGGTATGACAGATGAGCAGAGGGTCTGAGGATTTTGGAGGTGATTTCTGTGCTCAGAAATTCCCAGCTGAGCAGCCCCAGGAACTTGCCTGACGACAGCCTTGAGGGGAAAGGGGATCTACTTGGCAGCTCAGATGTGTGTGGTGGGCACACGGAGGCCAGGTGCCTGCCCATGTCCCTGTCATCCAAGATTTGTGACCATGCCCCATCCCTGGAGCTTTTCTAGAGGCTTTTGGGGGCAGCTCCAAATGCACTCCTGGGTATGAGTGGGCCCACTGGACTCTCACTTGGTCTGGGAAGGTCTTAGAGACCCAAAATGAGAGGACAGAGTGTGTGGTCCAAGGTGAACAGTCATGGAACCCAGGAGAAGGGGCAGAGGAGCCTCGGAGAATCTGGGGGGACAGCCGGCTCACCTTTGCCCGGATGGGAGGTTGGGGCCTCAGAGAGCTCTCGGATCCCGCTTTTTGTCCACAGTGGGTGGGACTGCTGATGTCAGAACCTTGATGCCTGGACTGAGTCTGAGGACTGAGGGGTGGCTCTGAAGGTTGAGCCAAGTGCGGGTGCCTGTGCCTCTGTCTGCTCCTCTCCAGTTACCTGTCTGGGTCTTGAGGGTACTTGGTGAGCTTCTAGTAGCAGCCCCAGCCTGTAGGACATTAACACCCACCAGGTTTGGGGCACCTGGGTGGGTCAGTCGGTTGGATGTCCAACTTTGGCCAGGTCACGATCACGTGGTTTGCAAGTTTGAGCCCTGCATCAGGCTCACTGCTGTCAGCTCAGAGCCTGCTTCAGATCCTAGTCCATCTCCCCACCCCCTCTCTTTCTCTCTCTCAAAAATAAATAAACATTTAAAATAACAAGCACCCACTGGGCTTGGTCACACCCTTCCGGCCTCTGCACTTGACATTCTGTCTCCTCTGCCTGGATTTAGTTACATGTCACCGCTTCTCTGAAGCTTTCTCTGGAGCCCTGGGCATACATAGCCACACAACAAACATTTATTGAACACCTACTGTGTGCCAGGCACTGAACTACATGCGGGGAGCAAACACAGGTTGTACTCCCATGGAGGAGTATACTAACCGCTTGATAAAAAACATACAGTTTAAAATTGTGAGGTGTGCTGATGGAGAAGAGTAGGAAGCTGGAGGTGGGGGCCAGCAGGGTCCAGACTGGGCTGAGTGTCTCAGTCCAAGAGTGAGTCCTACCTCTCTCTGAGCTGCTGTGAGACATTAGGCAAACATCCCTTTGGTCCCTTTCTGTTTGTGGGCCCATCTGTCGCTGGGATTTGGTCTTGAAGGGGCTGTGAAGTCTGCTCAGCTCTGTGATTTGGAAAAGGGCTAGGGGGACACAGAGGGAGACAAAGGGAGGGGAGGGGCTGGGGCTGGTCCTTTTTAAGCGAAATAGATCTTAGGAAGCCTGGATCTAGCTGGTAGCCCCTCAGTGAGCCAGCCTGGCAGGTGTCCCTGGGCTCGTCTTGCCCCCAACCAGTGGCAGACCCCTGCTTCTTGACCTGACCAGAGCTCTGCTCAAGCTTGAGGCTCAGGGGCTGGGTCTGGGCTTGAGGGGGTAATCAGGCAAGCTGGAGAGCCCTTTGGAGTGGGGTAGAGGAAGCTTGCAGGTCAGGGATACACACATGACATCCTCACGCTGCATGGACACACAACACCCTGACCTACGTCCGCATAAGTACACACCCTGTGTCCACTCATCTGCCCACGCCGGCTCCTGAAGAGTCTCTGCTATGCAGAGCGGCCCCTCTGTACCCGTGCAGTATACCCCCATCAGCTGGGACAAGATCTGGCAGCTGAACCCAGCCCCAGGCAAAGCCTCAGGGTGGACAGGACGATCAGTTCCAGCCCAACCTCCCACAGGCTCTGGACTCTAGCCCAGAGGCCCGGGGTCAGGGGTCAGGGGCTGGACTTTGGGAGGAAGGCCCAGAACACGTGGGGGCTGTGCCTGTGGGAGGGGCAAGTGCTGGACACCCCCCCCCCCCCCCCGCGCTCCCTGTGTGGCCGTGGATGGCTCTCCTCATTGCCTTCCTACGCCACCACCTTGAGCCTCAGTCTAGAACAGACTCCTTCAGGGACGCCCTCATTGTCTGCCTGATCCTCAGCATTTACAGCTGGGTCTTCGCAGCCACGGGCACTGGGAGGATGGAGGGTGAGGCCCTGTGAGCCTTGGGCATGGGGTGTATTGGGGCAATTAGGCAGCTATGAGCTGGCCTCTTGGGGCTTTCTCCTGGTTTGCAGCCCAATTCGGCCTAGGGACCTGATCCTGTGGGTCCCAGACCTGAGCCCCTTCCCTGGGGTCCTGCCAATAGCTTCCCTGTCTCTACTTCCCTTCGAGGTGACCATGCTGCTCCCCTGCTGACCTCTCCTCCCTGGCTCCCCATCCTTGCAGGATGAAACCTAGCTCCTGAGCCTGTGTTCAAGGCCCAGCATAGCATGTCCCCTGCCCACCTCTCTGGCTTTTCTCTCCCTCATCTCCCTGCTCCTTCCAACCATGAGGAGAGTAGACATTTCTGGAAGGCACATTGCTCTTCCTCTCTCCAGCAGGCTTTTTGCACAGGCTGTTCCCCTGCATGGGGACACATGAACACACACGTATCCCTGAGCAGAGGACCTCTTACATATGGCTGGCAAGACAAACTCATCAGTTGCCACTCACCCCTTTCCATACCTGTGAGACATCACTGATCACAGGATTACAGTATTCATCCCCACTGAATTTGAACTCAGCCCCTGAATTCTCAATACAATCTTTCAAGTAGATACTAGCGATTCACCAAATGTTGAAATTGAAACAATTTCCTGCTGGGTTTCTGAGTTCTAGGGCCATCCAGTCTATACCCCTGTCTTCTAATGGGGCAGCTTCAAGCTTCAAGTATAGAACACCCCTTACCCACACCAGGGAGACTTTTCCAGCCTTCTGTGGGCTTTGTGACTTTGACTGGGGCTCTGAGGCTGTCAATGGGAGCAACAGAATGAGGCCCACACACCTGCCTATTTGTATTGGCCCAGCTTCTCAAAAGCTGCGTGGCCTCAGGCCCATTCCTTGCCCTCTGAGCCTCAGCTCACTCAGCTAAAATGGAGGCAACAATAGCTGCCTATTGAGGAGGATTAAATGAGGTCATGGGTGAGAAATTGGTATACAGTAGGTGCTCAGTAAGTATGCAGGTGTCTTGACCTTTATGTGCCCACCCACTCCAGCCTGGTGACTGTGGGCTTGACTGGCCAACTCATACCTGACTGCATTTCCTCTTTGTGCCCTGGGCCCACCTCCTACACCCCTCTGTTCTCCAGAAGGAAATCTTTTTCTTTGCCTACCTGTCCCTGGGGTCCCTTTTTTCCCTTCCTGCCAGGATCTGACTGTTACTGTGTCCCAAGACAGATAATCTGGAGGTCTCTGAATGAGTTTAGGGACCATTTGATCCATCCCCTGCCCAGAGAGATTAGAAGACTGAAGCCCAGAAATACCTCTCAATATCCTCTGGGCTCCTGCTCTTCCTCCAGGAAGCCTGCTGGGATTTTTCCACCCATTATCTGCTTGGGCTTGTGTCAGGATGGGCTTTTTAGTATTTCTAGCCAGAAACCAAGCTCCTCAGGGTAGGACCTGTCTCCTACAACATTCCTCCCAGGATCATTGGGTTCCTAGCTTGTCCTCATGCCTGCTTCTGTGGCTTGAACTGTCAGGTTCAATCCTCTCTGACTTTTCTCCTCTCTAAGCTTCACAGTGGAGTGTGGTGGGGCTGTGGGGTCAGAAGGGGCTGGCCTCATATTTTTGCTTCCATCTCATGCTTGCTGTGTAGCCTGGGACTGGCTGCTTGGTCTCTCTCAGCATCTGTGGTCTCCTCTGTCAAATGGGATTTCTTTTAGTAGCTTCAAGGATGCCGAGGGGGTGCAGAGATGGCCAGAAGTAGCAGGGATGGATCCCCATAGGGGAGGGGCCCAAGATTTTTCCAGAGCGAGTGGCCACTGTGTTCACCTCTTGTCCCCGAGGCAGCAGCAGAACTGTGAGTCAGCCAACTTTGGAAGAAAATAAGTGTGGCCCCTCTGGTTTCCTGCCCTCATGTCCGGCCCTTGTTTAGCAGCACAATTGGTCAGGTTGAGACTGCAGGGTGGGCAGCTTAACCCCTGCGAGGCCAGTGCACGCCTTCCCTACTGCCTTGCAGCAGTCAGTGGGAATTGGTAGGGCTGCCTGGGGGCTCAGCAGCTCCTGGGCCCCTTGGAGGCCACCTGCTGCCCTCTGGGCTGGGCTCCCAAGGTGGCCGGACTCTGCTGCTCCCTACCACCTAACGGGCAGCCAGAGCTCCTGGTCCTGGCATTCATGGCCTCCAGTGTCACTAGCCTTTCTGGCGCTGCCTGCTCTAAAAAACCCTGTGGCCAGCCAGCCTCCCCAAATCCTCCAAGCTGCCTAGGCTTCCTGCCTCCCCCAGCAGACCCTTCACATCTTGGGGGATCCTGTCTGCCCCCTTCACACAGCAGCACCGTCCTTGGGGTGGGGAGTGAGCCCGGGGCCCAGAGTTCTTGCCAGAGGAATTGCTGAGTCAACATCCTCTCACCTACGCCCTCTTCACTCCCACCTGCCATGGAATGGCTGACCTTGGGGGGTCAAAACCTTGAGGACATTCACAGCTCTGGTGTGGCGGGTAAATTCAGCTGTGATTTCTTGAAGGCACCCCTCCCCTGAGCCATTCCTGGAGCCAGTGCTGGGTGTGTACATTGCCTTCTTCACTAGGCTCACCAGAAGACTGCTTCCTCCATTGTACAGATGAGAAAGCTGAGGCATGGTGCTGGAAAGAGTCTGGGCTTTGGGGTGCAGATCCTGCTTCTCATCCCCACTCCTGCTCTTACTTTGCTCAGTCTCACCCATCTCAGTCGTACCCCCTGCGGAATGGAGAAAGGACTCCTCTAACTCTCGCAGTAGTAGAATCGAGTGCTCCGTCAGTTAGAACCTTTTATCCTGGGGCATGTGGGTGGCTCATTTGCTTGAGCATCTGACTTTTGATCTCAGCTCAGGACATGATCTCATGGTTTGTGAGATTGAGCCCTGTGTCAGCGCGGAGCCTGCTTGGGATTCTCCCTCTCCCTCTCTTCCTGTCCCTCCCCCACTCACTCTCTCTCTCTCTCTCTCTCTCTCTCTCTCAAAATAAAAATAAACATAAAAAAAGAGAACCTTTTGTCTGTATCACCTGCAGTTCCCACAACAGCTTGTAGAGTCACTGTCTCTTGTTCAGACAAACACACAGAGGTTTGGAGAACATGGAGGTTTGGAGGTGCTGAGTAATTTTCCCGGAGTAACATGGGAAGGAGTGATAGAGCTGGGCATCCCACCCTAAACTGCCTGCCTTCGATTCGTTTTGGGGGAACTTCCGCAAAACATGAGGGCTGTGGGGTCCCAAACTTGGGGCGTCTGGGGAGAAAGGGTGGGCCGCTTTGCCGACCACAGCTCCCGTGGCTTGTACCTGGTCCCTGAAGTGTCCGGGGCAGGGAGGGGAGGGATCCATAGGCAGGGCCTCAGGTGCCCAGAGCCAAGCCTCAGCTTGCCTTTTCTAAAAATGGTGGTGCTGGCTGACAGAGAGGGGCCGCGGCTCAGAGCTCCCCTTCCAGGGCTCCTCTCCCAATGCCATAACAGAACATTGGTAGGAGGGATGATGTGAGGCTTTGGTAAATCCTCTCCCGTGGGGGAGGGCCACCCAAGAGGAGACTAGGCCCGGGTGCCACTCTTCTGCCTCTGAGTGCTGGCAACTCAGACCCCTGTGCTCTCTGAAACATGGCGTGGATGGAAGCCAGTGGGCCTTCAAGGCTCATGGAGTTGGAGGGTCTACACGTGGAAGAACTTCCCCCACCAAGTCCTGAGAATGCCCGCTTGTGCCCACGACACCACCACTAGCTCACCGCTCTGAGCCAGGAGGAGACTCGGTCCGCCCCCAAGGAATGGCTCTTCCCCGGGACCCCAACAACGACCGCTCTACAGATGGGGCAGCCAAGCACCCTCTCAGCTCGGGTGCTTGGTGAGGCGTCTGGGGTGGAGTAGGGGCGGGGATTCCGCACTCACCGAGCTCGCGGACCGAGAGGTGTCTTGGTTCCGTCTGTCCGTTTGGCTGAGCTGCTGTGGAGCTCCGTGGAGCTCAGCCGATAGCCTCTCGAGGGGAGCCACACCCGGTCAGTGAGGGAGGCCTGGCTGCCGCCCCTTCAGGTTTTCCAGCTGGCCCTGGCCCACTTCCCCCTGGGATGGTTTCCTGTTATTGTTCCTTTGTGAGGGCCGGGCTGGCTGCAGATAGGCAGGCTCTGTGGTGGGCGGCTGCCTCGGCCCAGCCGGGCTGTGCTCGTAGAGGCCTGGGCCTGGACCGGGCCTGGCACGCTCAGGTCAGATCCCAGTCCCAGGCCTCAGCTCTGCTCCTGATGGGACCTGGAGCCAGACACATCTCCCTCCCTGGCCCGATGCTCAGTTTCCTCATCTGTAAATGGGGATAATCAGACCTCAAACTCACATGGGTGTTGGGATCAGCGAGAGTCAAAATGAAACTGAGGGCGGGATCCGGTCCGTCAGAACCAAGCAGCTGGGGGCAGGAGGGGCACAGATTCTGTGAACCTGGAGAGTCCTAGGAGGAGCTTTTATAAACTGAACAGACCTGATCAGCTCAACTGACTGGGAATCTCCCAGGGTGGTGGGAGTGTGTCCTTTGAATGGTTGCTCTCGTTTTCTCCTGAGCGAGCAGTTGGGAAGTCCCAAATGTGCTCCTTTACGGGACTGGGCAGACAGAGACCTGAGAGGGAGAACGTCTTGCCCAGAAGCACTCAGTAAGTCTGAGGACATGGGTATGGAGCTGGGGAACGGGGTGGGAAAATGATTTTTGGGAAGGTGAGATAAAGATCTGTCTCTTTGGGGCATGTTGAGTTGGAGATGGCTTTTGGACACCCAGGTGGTGATGCCAGGTTTGCAGTTGGAGACGGGTGCATACAGGTGGCTTAGGGATGAGGTTTAGAAGCTCTGATCTTATGGCTTATTTCCGTGAGGCTGTGGGAGTGGATGAACTTAGAGGGAGGGAGGCCCCTGGCATCTGAGATTTGTATATCTTCTAGGAGAGCCTGGCGGGGAAAAGGGAAAGCCGGGAGAGGGCAGGGCTGTGGAGAGCAGGCAAAGACGAGGACAGGGTGTCAGCTGGGTAAGGGGAGGGCAGATTTGGAAGCTGGAAGTCACAGACAGCTGTGGACAGAGCAGGTTAAGTGGAATGGGGGTAGACAAGGCAGATTAGAGGGGCTGGTGAACAGGGATGAAGAGGGGGAGATGAGTGTGATCACAGCTTCACAGTGAACAGGAACAAGAAATGGGAGAGAGATTCTGTGTGTGTGTGTGTGTGTGTGTGTGTGTGTGTGTGTGTGTGTGTGTGTGTGTCTTTAAAGTTATGTTTGTGTGGAGGGGACTTCTAGATGATGCTGGAGGGAGAAGAGCGACCTGTGGAGGGAGGACGGTCCTGAGGCGGGCCTCTGCACAGGATCCAGCACATTCCATCACTTTTGGTGGAATGAACAAACAAAGGCGCAGCGTTTTCTTATTTTCTTCCCCAACAGGCTTAACTCTGTCTTCCCCAGCCAGAGGGTGGATGTGGCCCCAGGCCAGCTGGTCCCTCAGCCCCATGCTCCTGGCTCTGCACGCCCCAGCCTGGGCTCTCTGCCTGCTCTGTGGTGTACGTGCCTGTGGGACCGGGCTGGGCCTGGCCTCACTTCCTGTGGGGTCTCAGACTTGTCGCTGGTGGCAGATGGGGACAGGGTCTGTGTTGGCACCATCTGCTGATTCCCTTTGTACTCCCAGTCCACAGGAAAGTTGACTCTGCCCCGAAGCCTGCTGTTCCTGTCATCTGTGAACAAAGGGATGGCTATCCAGGCATGTGCCCTGGGGCAGGGATGTGGTCACCCTGAAGAGGTAGTCCAGGCCATGGGAGGAAGGCTAGTGCCCTTGGGGCTCCTGGGGAGCTCATGTCCGATTTCTGCCACCACCCAGCCCCTGCTCCAACCCCTCTGGAGGCACAAGAGGCACTGGGAAGGCACAAGGCCGGGAAGTGCCATCAGGAGCAAAGGAGGCAGCCGGTGGGCCGGCAGGAAACGGGATGGTCTGTGAGACCTGATTAGCAGTGGAGGAGGAAGCGACAATCAGGATGGTGGGGTGGACTGGGAGTGTGGCAGTGAGGCCTGAGGACACCCACCTAGCCTCTGCCAGGACGAAAGCTGACTGGAGACTCGGCCCTGTGGTGTCCTGCTTGGAGAGGTTCAGACTTGGGTGTCGGCCGACCTGGTTCAGATCCTACCCTGGCCTCTCACTGGCTGTGTGACCCAGGGTGGTTGACATGCCGCTCTGAGCCTGTTTCTTTACCTGTGAAATGGGTTGCAGTCCACACTTGGCAGGGCCGTCCAGAGGATCAAATAAGACAGCATAAATAAATGACTGCAGGGACAAGCATTTTACCAAGCAGGTAAAATTTCTTACAGTGTGGTCCTCAGGCCAGCTGCCTCCCAGCCACTTGGGGTGGGGGGGCGGCGCTTGTTGAAAATGCAGATTCCTGGCCCTCACATGCAGACTGATGGAGTCAGAATGGCTGGCAGTGGAGCCCTGAGGCCTGCGATGCATTTGCAGCTCTCTGGATGCTCAGGTTTGGGAGTCATGGCATGCGTGTCCTCAGAGCCCTGAGCTCTCTTTCCAGGGACTCCTCTTTCAGTCCTCAGAGCAACCCTGAGGGGCAGGACTGTCGTCATCCCCATTATGCAGAGGGGGAAACAGAGACTGGGAATGAACTGCTTTCCACGATCAGAGCTTGTCAGTGGTAGAATGGAAATTCTGACCCATGGCCTCTGTTTCCTGAGGTCATGTCCTCGCTGCCCACCCTTCCCCCATGCCCAGGCTTTCCTGCCCATTTCATTGAATGAAAGAATGCATGAGTGAGGCACGGAATGGGTCAACGACCACTGGCATGTTGAGGCAGACACAAGGCGCGGGGTTGGGTATACACCTGTGTTCTGTGGTATATCCCGGCACATGGTGGGGCCTCTTCTTGAAGCCTTCAAAGAGGCTCTGACTCAATCCATCCATCCAACTCTCAGCCCCGCTGGGCGCACAGCTCTGTGTCTGGCTCCGGGTGGGCGCCCAGGGAAGAAAAGAGGCCAGCCCGTGATAAACTCTGAGTCTGGGGTGGAGCCGTTGCGGTCACCGACACTGCTGTGAACTCAGCACCAGTTATGTGCCACCTCCGCTCCAGGCCCTGTGCTTTCTTTTCAGTATTCCCGGTGGCCTTGTGAGGGGGGTATGGCTCTGCCCCTGCTGCAGCATCATGTACGTGGCCCAGCATGGCAGCGCCTGGCTCAGACCAGGGCTCCCGTGAGCGTGCCAGCCCTGCCCCACTGCCTCCATCCCATCTCAGGCTGAGCTGCTCCAGCCACTGCCTCCGAGGATGCTCTTCGCTTCCCAGCTCTGCCTGCCCAAACCTCCCACCCAGCGCTTCAGTGCCCAGCTCAGACATACTGCCCCTCCATCCAGCCTGCCTAGATTCCCATTCTGGGAGCATCATGCCCCCTGGGAAGCTTCCACTCCACCTGCCCCCCACTTGTTCCGTTCCAAAACCTATAGGGCCCCTTGCCTGTTTTCTTGTGTAATGATTCCTCACTATAGCCCTGAGAAGTGTCAATGCTGTTCATATGCTCATTTTTCTTAAGAGGGAGCCAAGGCTCAGAGAGGCTGAGGAACTTGCCCAAGGTCACACAGCTCTCAAGTAGCAGAGCCAGGATTCCAGTGCTCATCTTCTGGTTCCCAGTTTAGTGCTCACTTTACACCATCCTACTCCTGACGAATTGTCATTGGGTAACAATGTTTTATGCTCATCTATTATTAAAATATACTGTTAATGGTGTCCAGTCTTTGCCTAGCTTTGTGCTCGGCATGGGGGATGCAGACATGACCCAGGCTTGGTCCCTGCCTTTGATGTTTCACGTTAGTGTGAGCTGCATTGGGTGGGGCCGGGGTGGGAACAGAGGTGTATGCCCCATGCCGAGGGTGCCTGGAGGTGGCCCTGGGGAGCCGCGGAGGATGGGAGTCCCCAAGATGTTGAAAGGATAGGCACGAGCTGCCCAAGCACAGAGCAGGAGGAAGGACTGGCCAGGCAGAGGGCATGGTTAAGGCCGAAGGTGCGGAGGCCTCCTTGGCAAGAAGCCATCCCGTGGAGGGAAGCACTGAGGTTCTGTGAGGGTGAATCGGGGACTGGCTGGATGAGGCCAGTGGCGGAGAGCCGCTCCTGCCTCCCTGAGGAGCTTGGGCAGGGGCACACCTGAGGCCTCCCACTTGTCAGGGACCTGCAGAGCCCTGAATTTTAGGAGAATTGCCTGGTCCAGGGTAGCATCCTGCGGTCAGGCCAGGGAGAGGCTGCAGGCTGGGGAACCTCAGGCCACCGCTGCTGTGCAGGTGCCGTTGCTGGAGCCCGACTGAGGCCTCTCCTCAGCCAGGAAAGGACTAGCTGAGCAGGAATTGAATTCCCGACAGTGAGAACAATACCTTATCCGCCGAGCACTTTCCCAGATGTTTCTCACTTTTCTCCCACAACATCCGGGGGACGCTGGTAGGAAGCCACGCTCCCGTGCTTTGGGGCTGAGGGGACCAAGGAGCAGTCGGTGAGGGTTCCGAAGGGTCCCCGTGGTTATGTCCTGAGAATGCCTGCCACTTACCGTCCTGCCGATCCCAGCTGAGCCATACAGCCTTTGGTGCCTCAGTTTCTCCTTCTGTAAAATGAGGGTGATCGCATGCCTTTCTCATGGGGTTGGTGGAAAGTGCATGGAGCAGTCCCTGGCATCAGTAAGTGCTTGATAAACATGAGTCGTGACAATGATGTCCATAGAAGTTGATAGTGGGACACACTTGAGGGTGTGGGCAGGGCACCACATGAGCATAGCGTTTGCTGGGCAGCCGGGTGGCTGCATGTGTATGTTTAAGAGCGCACATAGAGCATGTAAGGCACCCATCTGGATTGACTGTGTAGGTGTTGATGGGTGTGTGAGTGGGTACAGCTGCCCAGGGGAGGGCCAGGCCTTGGAGCAGCACCTTCCTCCCCCATCATCTGGAATCATCTGCCACGTTATCCC